GCTGGCACTCAGCCCCCTCGAAGGCTGAGACCGCATGCTCCACTCCCAAACAAACGACACAAAGCTCGTGTGTGTCCCCACCCGTTAAATAACGCGGGCAGGGAGAAGCACACTGTTTGTACACTTGTTTAGTTTCCATCCTTTTCCGCAACAGACAACAGTAAATAGACAGAGACAAAATGACACAGATCGCTTGCTGAGACACAGAAGCTAATGCCGCGTTTCACCGGGTGAGCCTTTATCCCTTCCTGGTCATGACGTCACCCGCCCGTGACGCTCATTCTTTCCATTGGACTAGTTGACATTGATGCTCAGACGCATGCACGCTGGGGGCGTTCCCAAAGCGTCAAGTGACGCATCGAGAGTTCCCTCGAAAGGGAACTATTAATTCTGAATGCCAATCAGAGTGAACGCCTCACTCCTGAATCTGAACTGAACTCTTCAGAACTCACAATCAATGTCGGTAAACTTCACAAATGTATTTAGATTTAGAATTATTTAGTTCTTAGTATTTAGAATTTAGATTTGTGGGTAATTATGGAGCTTGAGTAGATATTGAGCTTTGTCTCCCTCAGGTCTGAACTTCTGTTGTATTTTAGATTAGAGTGTGTGTGTGTGTGTGTGTGTGTTAGTCTGTGATACAGTATGTTGTTCCCTGGAGATTATGAGTGTGAGAGCCTAAGCATGTGTGTGTACTGTTCTAGTGATAAGAGATATTTTCCACTTGCTCTACCCTGCTACCCACTCATGACATGCGTGTGTATGTGTATCTGTGAGAGGGAGGGAATCTGCTTTCATGAGATGTTCTTCACTTGTTCTTCCTGTACAAAAACATTCCAGCATCATACTCCCTCACAGCCTGAAAAAACACACACACGCTGAAGCAGCTGATGGATATTCTTTTTTATATAGATTTAGAGTAATTCAATTAATTGTTCGACAGACACCCAATACTGGCCTCTTGTGCTCTATTTCCCTTGTTCTCTGATTTTCTCCTCTATTTGTCTCTCCTTTTCCTTGCCTTTCCCTTTTATGGTATGTTTTTTTGTCAGGGAAATGTTTCAGGCTTGGTCATAGATTTGAATTTGATCATTCAATGGGTAGTTTTTCACTGACACACACACACATGCCTGTACTATTTTAGTGGGTTTTGACTCATTGCAGTTATAGCAGAAAGGCTGTTAGTCTTTGCTGTTTCTCAATCTTAAATCTCCCTTTCTTTTATTACATGTGCTCTGAAATTACTCGATTCTGATTGGTCAATTATGGCATTCAGCTATCTGATATTTCCTTATCACTGCCACCATCCACAAAAAGGACATACGGTTTGGAGAATGGATGGATGGATCATCAACAATGGCAATGTTGTATCCACCTTATTTTTCAATGCAGAAGTGAGCTATTTCCTGTGAATATATGACTTTTAATTAACTAGCTGCGATAGGTAAATAACTAGAAGAATAACAAAGTCCAGTAAACTGTAAAACTATTTGTGCTACAAACCAGTGTGTTTTTTTTTTGTGTGATTATTACTATAAAATAATTAAACTAATATGACAACAAATACCAGTTTGTCCGGAGCCCCGCACATGACATGCAGACAGAAATATATCGTGGCCACAAATTAAGAATTCGTGCTCTTGGTTTAGAAAATTTAGATCACATTGAACTTATTTGTTCACTCATTTTGATTTAACTAAAAAAAGGAGAAAATTATTACAACATGGCTATGATTTAGTAAAACGAAGGAATGAATTATTAGTATATAGTGTGCTCCATTTACTTAAAATTAGGGAACGAATTAGTAAAACATGCAGACGTTGTAGTAAGCCGTGGGAATAAATTGTGTGGTTGCTATCAATATAGCACGACGAAGGAGATAGCTCAAAAATAACAATCTTTAATCACAAATACTGTGAAGGAGAAATAACAAAACCACGTATCATAAACAACACCAAGCAAAGAACTGAATGAACACAGGATTTAAATACACTTAATAAATTAATTGGACGACAGGTGAACTGAATCATTAATCAAGGAAATGCACTGACACACACTAGGAAACTAGGCCTAGTCCACACGTACATGGGTATTTTTATAAACTGAGTTTTTCCTCTGTTTAAAAAAATATATATATTGCTCACACAAGTACGGTTTTAAAAAAAAAACTCTGTCCACATGAAAACGCAAAAACACGCTATAAGCGATATAACCCTAACCGTAAAGCCACGTTGGCCAATCAGAAGCCTGATAAAAAGGTTATTACCAGTTCTGGTAGGCTAACAACATGTTGTCATAGTGACATGCGTACTATTGCATTCTGACGCCTCTGTTCCGCAATATAATGGGAGAACTGTGCATGTATCTGTATGCATGCAAGCCCTGTTAGCACAGTTATTAGCAGCAATATTTTGGCTACGTCCGCCATTGCACAGACTCGCCTCCTGTAAACAAAGGAGATAGCGGCACACAATCTGACGTCAAGCAAAGGAGATAACAGCGCGTATTCCGACGTCACAAGCCAAAATCTCTGGTTTCACCGGTTACACGACAACACTGCAATCGGAGTTTCTGAAACTCTTCACCCTGGCAGGAGTTTTCAAAAAGGTTCGGTTTCAGCGACCTGATACTGCGTTTGCGTGTGGACGAACGGCTAACCCGCATAGAAAAAGCTGCGGTTTTGAAAATACCCGTGTTCGTGTGGACAGGGCCTAAGTCCCACAGGCAAACAGGAACAGGGAAAACAGAACCAAAACACAACCAGAACAGATCATGTTACACAAGCAGAATAACAAATAAATATAAAAGTAAAATAATTTAAATAATTTAAAGCGGCTGACACCGGAAGTTTGCGCCTGCTCATTAAAAATAACATGAATATCAGTCTGTTAATCCAGGAAATTGAAGAGGACTACTTTCAAGTCTCTCATATCACACAGCGGACTTGCTTTTTGATTTTTTAATACAAACGTGACTTTCACCATCTTGCGTCTCAGTGTTCAATTTTCGTAAAAATGCCCTATATATACACAGGTAAGATTATAAAATTACGAATGGCCCTCACAAGTCCTGATCACCATGTCGGGGTTTATTTCTCGATAATGAGCGGTTGACTGTAGCCTACATTATTTCTTACATAAATTACAGTTACAGTTTCTGCCCATGCTGCTGTGTACAACTCAGAGAAATAGAGGGAGAGAACAGCTGGCTCTTTCTCCATACTCTGCTCCTCCCATCACATCATGTGTATTTATGTGAGTGTGTGTGTGGTGGTTGGAAAGGAAGAGAGCCATACTTAGAACTAATTGTTGGGGTCTCAAACATAATGAGCTGATTGTTAGCAGCAGTCAACAAGAACATTAATGTAAGCACTCAAGCACAAATACACCCAGGACATTCTGATCTCTGACCCCATTATTAACAGGATAGTTTTGTTTGATTGTGGCACTATGAAAAGCAACAGTGATCTTTGGAGCAGAATAGGTCTTTTTTTTTTTACACCCACTTACAATTAATGTTCTCCTCTCACGTAAGAGGTCTTTAATTGTTATGACACTTTATTTTGGGAGTCTAGTTAATTAGGTTATATAAATTTAAGTTTAAAATTACAAACTGAGTGGGAACATGTTATTAGAACAAGTTCACCCTAAAATGAAACATCTGTCATTGACAACCTCATGTTGGTCTTTCTTTCTTCTGTGGAACATAAAAGAAGATATTTTGTATGCTTCTCGTTCTTTCAATGCAGTTACGATGAATAAGGAAATTAAGCTTTCAAACTTTAAAAAGAACTCAAAAGTACCTTAAACGTTTTATAAATTGTCATTATGAAGGAATCATTCCAACTGGTTTTGTGAACTGGATCAATACTGAAAGGATTTGTACACAAAATGAGCATTGCTACTTCTCTTATGAACTCTCATGAACGTGCAGGGAAGAGCTACAGAGAGATTTTTACTGTACCATAACATTTGGTTTATAACTCAAACACAATTATTTTATGGCCTCACAATAAGTCATGGACTATTGAAAAAATTTCCTCTCATATAATTTTAACATTTTAAAAATAATGGCCAGGATATTCTTCTGAATTTCCCCTTCAGGGTTTTACAGAGGAAAGACTACATAAGTAAATGATGACACATTTTTATTTGGGTGAACAAACAAACCCTTTAAATTCCACACTGCGGAAAGTGTCTGAGTCGCATAATAATCAGTGAAAGATAAATCTGCTTCATTAAACTCATATGAACATTTTCTGTTACAAAAGAACCCTAACATTAATTTGCCATTAACCCAGAGTTGATAATGTGTGCTGAGTTTTTTAACCAATGCTGAGTTTGATATTTTAAGTGTATTTCAGCAGCTGAGGTGGTGTTATTATAAAGGGAGGTTCCCTACAGATCGGCGAGAGAAAGTCTCTCATATGCAGTCCATCTGGCTTCGACACCAGCACAGATCTGAAATCAGTTTTTGCTGTTTGTCTCTAATGGTTGCTGAAGTCATTGTGAGTAGTGCAGAAAGATCTAAGATCAACCACTGAGGAAACTTTTTGGCCATGTTTTTTCTCCAGTGCTTCATTTCCTTGTGTGCAGTTATTGCCGACTTAACCCAGGAAGTGAGACAATTAGTCTGGTTGAAGGTATGACGTAAAAAGGAAGTGATCTCATTAGTGTGGAGCTGAAGGGCGTGACTTTCTGTATGGTGGAATGGCAGAATGTTTTTGTACGTAATGTGACTGTCTAAGTGAACGTGTGAGTCTGTGTTTGGGCTGATGGAGAGGCCGGAATGTTCTCACTATTAACAGCAGGCCATGAGAACATTCTGGCTCACCCATCTGATACAAGCACTAGAGAACCAAAAAATCAGTGTCTCTGGAATTTCTCCATTTTCATCCAACTCTCTAATGCAGAGGTCTCCCCTTATGTTGAAATGTAACATCTAAGGGTGGGTTTCTAGTATAACATTTTTATAAAACCTTTTTGTTGTTTATGTACCAGGTACTCTGGTGGTGCCAACAGCGGCTGAGGTGACTCCAGACCCAGTCATTTCATCAGAAACGACTGCTGTCATTGCCACAACAGAAGCATCAGCTCCTCAAGAGGCTGCTTCAACACCAGGCCCTGTTTCTGAGGCTACAGAAGCAGCTGCCTCAACAGAAGAAGCGCCATCAGTTTCCACAGGAGCACAAGTTACACAATCAGTAATCCCAATAGAAACCACAGCCCCAAGAGATGCAGCAAAATCAACAGCTCTACCAGCAGTGGTGGCCACCACTGAAACCCCTACTGAGGTCACAAAGTCGATAGCAGAACCAGGAGATGTAGAGATAGAGGGGGAAGAAGGTGAGATATACCACAGACATACAGTGTAAATATTGTTACAGTTGAGAATTTGAATTGAGAATCTGTGTGAGCGAGGATGAGCAGTCATTGACATGATATCTGGTGTTCTTCCTTATTCCAGGTATGGGCACGGGACAGTTGGTGGGGATCGTAATCGGCGCATTGGTCGGAGTGATTGTTGTCATTGCTGTTATCATCTTGGTGGTCAGAAGAATGGGCCAGTACTCGTAAGTACTTTTATTATTATCATATGATTTAATATTATTTTATTATTATTATTATTATATATACGTATATAACTTTTTAAAGAATATCATTAAAGGGATGAAAATTTTGTCATTATTTACAAGACCTTTTTGCTTATCCAATGTTGTACAGATAATACTGTGTGACAGATGTCGTGGCTGCTTTATGAACATGTTCTCTGTATGAATGACTGAGGTGAAATATTGCATGCTGACAGTAAATGATTTCTATGTTGTAGGACTGCAAAGAAACGAAAGCCTCAAAAACAAGACAGCATCTTGATCTCTGTAACTGTCTTACTGTTTCATAGATAATCCTGATTAATCTGTGTAACACAGTTGCTCTTAAAATATAAACATATAACAGCTTAACACAACTATGTTGCTACTCCAATAGTCTTCTACCAATGTTCATCTAAATGGCAAATATTGGAGAAAAACACCACTGAACCGTATCAAGGCTAATGCCAAACAAGGAAATTATGTCATAATGGAATCTTATACAAGCCAAACAGAAGTGCAGTGGTTATATGCTTAGCACCGCTCTTCACCATCTTAGAAAATCACTCTGCAAATGTTCTGAAATGGAGTGGCAGCAATACAGTGCTGTTTATGCTATATTATTTGTGGTACTAACATGGTGTTGCCCAAAAAAAATAAAAAATAAGAGGGCCAAAAAATAACCAATTGTATTCATGTCCTTAAAAACACGTTGTTGTTTTTTTGGTACAATTTCTGTCAAGTATGTCTGAATCATTTCTGAATCAAACTCATGAATGAAACTGATAATTGCAATTGAAATTTTCAATAACCTATTAATGTACTGTAATTTATTTGTTTGTTTATCTTTGTATGTTACATGTATAAAAAAAAGCTTTAATAAGTGTCTGTTGCTGCCATTTGTACTAAACTGCTTTGTCGTCTTTCTTTCCCAGCCCCTGAAAAGGAAGGCACGACAGGAAGAGAAGAAGAAGAAATTGCGGAAGTTCTGAACTATTGTTCTAATGTTTTAAACAATGCAAGCAGCACTCTCACCATCCATCCAGGACTATAAGGGGAGCAGGAGAGTGCCCCATCCCCTTTCCAATTGAAAAAGATGCCCTCCCCAACCCTCTGACAAAGACACCTCCCCAACGCCCACAAGCCCCTTATTTAGCCCGGAAAAACTCATTTATACCCTAACAGTGGGAGGCCACAGGAAGTTACAATATCTTTAATGCATATTAATGTAACATGATGTGAATGAATGTGGTTTCTAACTGTGAGTTTGTGAATGGCCTAATAAACAAAAATAAGCAAAGAACTGCACATGCAAGCAAAAGCTTGTATGTTTTTTTAATTCCACTGAGTGTAAATATCATACAAAGATATTTAATGTCTTCATGTGTGACAAAAAGCCAATCCAAGATCATTATTTTTCTCAATTTCTCTCTTTTTCCTCTCTACAGATGTGTCCAATAGGACTATGCCGCATTATGTACACTACAGTTTATGATACATATAGGCAGATGCTGTGGACACATTCTGTTCTCAGAATAGGCTCAAGATGTGTAATTTACTGGTCTAGCGGCATTAACTAATTTTTTAAATTCATATTTAAGGGGAGCAGCACACAATAAGTGCTTGAAATTTACTCTTTTGAAGTGCATAAATACGGAGTGACTTGACTGTGTTGTTAACTGTCACCCATTCCAAAAGTGACATCACTTCCTCTGGGACGCATCATTATTATGTGTTCCAATCAGCTTAGCTTCATGCGTGCAGCTGCTATTGGCATGTATAACTAAAATCCTGATGTTTCTCACCATGGATTACGACATTTTAACAGCATACAGACATTTTGCATGGTTTAGTTGTTTGCATTTCTTTTTTGTCAATGTTGGGTTTGTGTTTCTTACTGACGTTCTAGCGTGGCTATCCTGGGCTGTGCTTTAAGAGATCAGTAATGGGTGCACTGAATGATGAAGAATAAATGTTCAATATTGAGAAAGGACTTTAGACACTGCAACTGTTTGCAACGATATTTTTTGTTTTGCCAGATTCCTCTTTATATCCCGTCACTATATGATCACATTTTACCATTTGATCTCAGAATTCACTTATAACCGACTGATTGTCTTTGTATTTTGGGGGTGGTGTTTTTTTGTTTAGTTATTATTGTTCAGTTTCAATAAAAAAAGTTCCAAAGTATGTTGTATTGCCATGTTGTGTTGTTGTGTTAGTGGATTCCAGATAACATTGTCTGTTTGTCTGTGTTTACTTTCAGCCCCTTTTACTCCGCATTCCAGCCTCTCTCTCTCTCTCACACACACACACACACACTGGTATTCCTGTCATTATGAGGACATTCCATTGGCGTAATGGTTTTTATACCGTGTTACAGTTTTTTTCAACTACTTACACACATTTTCAAAACCTTGCCTCTTTTTTTCAAAACTTTACACACAAATCCAAGAATTGCATACACAAAATGCCTCACATCTCTTGCAAAATGAAGCACTGCATTCAAAATATCACAAACACATCTCAAAAGCAAACATTTGTCTTACGTTGCAAACACCTTTGTTATTTTGGATATACACAGTTATTCGAAACCTAAAGCTCTTTCATGAGCTTCTATGTACATTTACAAGATTGAAAGTCACTGGCAGAGAGATGTTGAAAAATTCGCAGTAAACACGAAAGCAAGATTGAAACCAAACTATTGACTGTAAGCGTTTGTGGTTGTGAATACAGTATTACACAGTCCGAAAAACCTATAACTTGACCTAGGCCTATTCTAAAGCCATGATTGGTTGGTGATGTTAAGTAAAGCAATGTTTGCACATGTGAGGAGTTAGTGTGAGGCACTGATGAATTAGTGATAATACTTCCTGTTAAATTTTCGTGTGTTACATAGAGAATTGTGTGTTGTGGTTTGCAAAAGGTGTTTTATGAAATTGAAAACGGAGCCGATGGCCAAGAATTGGTGCATCGTTTTGCAGATTTGGTGTGTGTGGTGTTTGAGTGTCAGGTTTCAGAAATTGTGTGACAAGTAAGGATTTTGTGTATAAGCAGTTGAACTGTAATAACATTTTCAAGCCCCAAACCCTAAACCTACCCATCACAGAAAGCTTTCTGCATTGTAACATTTTCAAAAAAAAAAAGAAGAAGAAGAAGAAGAAGAAAAAAAGCTGTTTCATCATGGGAACCAAAAAATGTCCATTTGGTCCTCACAGGGTTTACTAGGCACACACACATAGCCTATACATGCCTATGCACGGTCTTTTTCTCACACAAACACACACCCACACACTCGGTCTCTCTAATCCCTTATAAAGACTGACAGAGGAAGAGATAGAGTTAATGAGTAAATGCATCGCTGTAAATATGAATATGTTCTTCAGTGACCTCTCTGGTTAAGTAGGGTAAATAACAACAGAGTCCCAAACAGCTGCCCCCCAAAATATTTGACGTCAACATCCAACGTCAGACGGACACTGCATTTTGGTTGGAAATGAAAGTCGACTGATGTTGGTTTCTGACGTCAACCCGATTTTCATTTTCATCCACAATACAACATCTGTCCAACGTTAGAGATTAACATCAATCTGACGTTGGATTCTGACATCAACCAGATTTTCATTTTCAACTTTGGGTTCGGCCTTCTATATGCAAATTTTGTCATTGTTTTGGAGCACACTAGCTTATAGATAACAGTAAGGCTAACATATTCATACTAAAAGCCAAACAACTTTTCATAGAGACTTTAAATGGGGCACTATTTGAGGGAACATCCCTTTTGGTGTCCGAAATAATTGTGGATATTATTGAGTGCACTTATTCAATCTCACATTCAGTCCCACTACTGGAACTGTGTTCTAGAAATACATTTGATATTGATATGAGGGTATAAGGGCGATTTCTGACACAACCCATATCTGATTAACTTTAATATTATTACTAGTCTTCTCGACTAGATGTCAGGTCATTCTTTTTTTTTTTTTTTACCTTGTAGGATGTTACAACGGGTTCCCTTCCCTGTCATCAGAGGTGGACAGTAACAAAGTACATTTACTTGAGTACTGTAGGGCCTACTTAAGTACACTTTTTGAGTATCTGTACTTTGAGTGTTATATTTTATGGAAACTTTTTACTTTAACTTCACTACATTTGAAAGACAAATATCGTACTACATAGATAGGCTTACTTCTTTTATTGGGGTGGTAGGAGTGTTAAATAAAATAAAAAGATGATTATGGGCTGTTCAGTTGTTTCATTTCTATGTTTTATAACATTATAAAAGCTCTTAATTCCACAGATACTACTAACTAGGGTGTATTCACTAGGTTGCTTCAAAGGCATATGGTGCTATGCTACTGTAAGTATTACATACAGCAATGCAACAATAATAAAACAATGCATTGACATTTACTTTTTACTTTTGATACTTAACCCCTTAAGTTGCCATTCCATATTCAAACCAGTAATATCCTATTACTAAACCTAAACTAATATTGACAAACTATATATCATTTTAAAGCATTTCATATTTGGTGATTGATTTTCAAAATAAATTACAGAAGAGCCATAAACTATCAATTTGCAAAAAGAATATTTTCATACTAAGGCGTGTTAACGGTGCAATGTGTGATATTTCTGAGGATCTATTGACAGAAATGCAATATAAGATCCATAACTATGTGTTCAGTGGTGTATAGATACCTTAATCAATGAACCGTTATGTTTTTATTACCTTAGAATGAGACATTTATATCTACATAACCGCGGGCACCCCCTTCTATGAAGGTCGACATATTGTGACGTCATGTTTCTACCGTAGCCGACAGCGAACAAACTTTCTTAATTTATTTAACTTCCACAAAAATCTTCTACAAAAATGTCTTCTTGTCTAAAACAAGACCAATCTTACATCTATATTCCAAAGCATTCTTGAATTACAACCATTTAAGTTCAGATTGTGCATTTTCATGTTTATTCAAAAAGGGGGCGCGAGTCGCGACACTTAAGAGGTTTAAGTAGGCCTACTTTTAAAAGTACTTTTGCAAACGTATTAATGGGAGTTAATCGGACTTATATACTCCATATGTCGAGTGACGATTGGCTAGATCTGCGGTTAATGAATGGCGAGACATCAGAGTCTTCTCTGTAGAACTTGCGCTAGAGCTGCCATTTCTATATAAGGAGAAATGTCTTAAATTTTTATTATATAATAGTTAACGAGTTAATTTTTTTTCTAGTGATAAAGTATGTTTATGAGCTGTTTAATTCCTAAAATGTATTTTAAAATAAATTAAAACGAAAGTAGTATTTAATTAAAATGAAATTCATAAAATGATCCCATGATGGAAACCCTATATGAACCATCTGACAGAACCATTTAAGGTTTAATATAGTACATTTTATTCAAAGAGTTCACATTTTTCAAGTATTTTTACTCTGTCATAGTATTTTCATGTTTGGCCTTTTCATTGCTTTTTGCAAGATTCCAAAGCACAATGTCTGACTTTTTACTTGGTCTCCACAATCTAAATGCATATGATGCTTTTGGATAATGAAGCCCAGGCCAAAGCAGGTATAACTTAATTCAATGATAGTCAGAGTGAATATCTGAGCCAGTAAATAACCGACTCAAATGAGCCAAGAAAATGAGCTTGAATGTCTTCGTCCACCACAGATTAGGTTTAAAAGAAAAATGAAATCAAGTGGCATTTAACGAGTCTGTTTGCCCATAAAATCTTTAAGATATTAGGTTAAACTTATTTGGCTTGCTGTCCACTGGAGAGGGGTTCGATGAAGCAGCTTCAACTCGAGCTCTGATATACCCCCCCCCCCCCAGTCCATTGTTGTCCCTCTCTTTAGTATGTCTTTGTATTAACAATTTACTTCGAGAAAAACATGCTTGAGAAATCAGTTTCCACATATTTTTCATAGTTAGAAAACTGTTTTGTTTAAGTTCAGTGTACTTACAGTTGACTGAACTAAGTACTCAACTTGTAAAATGAATAGAGTTACCAATACTCAAGTTTCTAAGTAACCTCTAGCTTATTTTGGTCCTGATATTATTCTTCCAGTATTGATAATTTACAAACAGAAACTCTAATATGACTTTAAAAATATTCTTAACAAATATCTCATTCTCTCCACATTACTTAAGCCCTCTAAT